AACTTCATAGCCTTTGAGAGATAAGTACAGACGTCTCTGTACTGATCCTTCAGACTCTATTAAGCTTGCTCGTGAATCGTGAGAGCTATGTAACATAGTGCTCTGATACCAACTGTCACGAGCCGAAATTCCCACCTTCGGACCATGATAGCGCCTAACATTTCACTTGCTAGGCAAGCCAACGTTAGAATAATATTAACCAATTTTTAAACAATTTTTAAATTATTAATAATCAAAGAAATAAATGCAGAAGCAAAGTTTGAAACATAGTGAATAATCCATAAATATAACGGTGTCTAAATACCATCCCAGAATTAGTGTCACAAGTGCACGAACTTCTAGAATATATACAAATAAATGTCTGAATAAAATAAAGCTGTCTGGAAATAAACACACAGCTAAAGTAAAATAAACGGGGACTTCNCGGCATGCAACCCGATCCTCCAATATAGACTTTTTAATAAATTTGTCGTAGCGTGCAACCCGATCCTCCAATATGGACTTTTAATAAGTCTGTTGCGGCGTGCAACCCGATCCTCCAATATATTCATTTATCAATTCTTATAGAAGAAATTTCCCCAATAAATGCAACAATTAATATAAAATTATAAGACAACAAGCATACAATAATTATGATTTAATTATGAAACAAACAATGACAAATAGCAAATTATTATGGAAATCAGGGAGAAAATAAGCAGTTTAATATTTAATATGCTAAATGTCAAATAACAATTAAAACACATAATTCAAATAGCATGTAACAATTAATGCAGGAATTCAAGAATTAATATTTAACAAAGAATAAGAAAGAAACAATTATTATAATAATTAATTTATGATATAAAATAATTTATGATTTTTCAAGTAAGCAGGCAAACAATTAATTTGACGACGTATAGACACTCGTCACCTCGCCTATACGTCGTTCACATGCAATTCACATAACAAATAATTTAAGGGTTCTATTNATTCCCTCAAGTCAAGGTTAACCACGACACTTACCTCGCTTTGCAAATTCCAATCAATTATTCAACCACAACTTTTCCTTTTAAATTTGACTCTGAAAGTTTTAAATCTATTCACAAACAATTCGATATATTCAATACTAATCATAGGAATTAATTCCATATGAATTTATAAATTTTTCGGATAAAAATCTGAAATTCATTAAAATATTCGACAGTGGGACCCACGTCTCAAATTCCGTAAAACTCACGAAATTCGAACACCCGTTCCACTACGAGTTAAACCATACAAAATTACGTTAAATGGTCATAACTTGGTCATAACCATACACCCGTTCAACCCCGTGGTCAAACTTGGAATCTTTAGCCTTTAAATTGCTAGTTCCGTTAAATGGTCATAACTTGAGTTAGGGACCTCCAAATTAAATTACGGGCATACGCCCAAGTCCCAAATCACGATACGGAGCTACCGAAATTGTCATAACACTGATCCGGGTCCGTTTACTAAAAATGTTGACCAAAGTCAACTCACTTGAGTTTTAAAGCTCTATTTCATATTTTAATCCATTTTTCGCATGGAAACTTTTCGGACTGCGCACGCAAGTCGAGAAATGAAAAATGGTACTTTTCGAGGTCTTAGAACACAAGATTACTTATTAAATTTAAAGATGACATTTTGGGTCATCACAAAAATGTGGCACATATATTTTATGTGATTATAAATCATTACATAGAGTTAAATTATTTCTAAATATGGAAAGGAATAATTCTTTTTGACACGTACTAATAAGGAAATATGTTCACATAAATTGAAACTGAGGGAGTACTTTTTATAAAAAAAAAAACTCTATTTTTAAAACTCGAACCGTCAATGCGTCATAAAATCCATAAATAGTCGTAGCTCGGATTGAAGTTACTAATATTTGATGCAAATTGAAAAGCTCATATTATTTTGAGTTGTGACTTACTATGATCTATGAGTGATTAGTGCATGCGAAGAACTCGACCTGTCTCACATACGACTCCGACGTCGTTTTTGTGTTTATGTTAAAATAAATAAAAAAGACTAAAAAAGAAGGAAAAAAAATAAAAATAGAAAAGGAAAAATATCCAAACGCAGGAGAAACACTTAGGAGAAGTCTGGGCGTTTGCGCACCTTTCATCAGCAGCCACAAACAGGAAAATAGAGAGAATTAAGAGAACTGTGCAAATTCTCAGGAAAATATATAGAGAAAATACACTCTCTAAGTAATTGATTTTCTTTTGCTTTTGTACATACAAAAGAGTTGCAGGTAGTACCCTTTTGGCTCTAAAAAGAAATGGCAGTAAGAACACCTATAACAGGGATAAGCATGGCTTCAGCACCCTCTATTTCCTCTTATAATAGGATTATTGTTGTAAAATCACTGCCTTTCAGAGCTTCTTTCTTTGGTCAAGGAGGTAAACTTTCTTGCTATCTGTGAAATTTGCTATACTGGGTTTTCTTTAATTTGCTCTATTGTTGCTTAAATTATCTAAGTGTGGGAACATATTTTGACAAAAATCATAATTTTATGCTCAATTGCTCAGTGGGGTTTCCTTATTTTTCTCTATTGATTCTCAAACTACATAAGTGTGGGATTAAATCTTGATAAAAATCAAAACTTTATGTTCAATTGCTCAGTGGGGTTTCTTTAATTTGCTATATTGATGCTTAAATTATAAAAGTGTGGGATTATATCTTGAAAAAAATCAGAACTTTCTGTTCAATTGTTTAGTGGGTGTTGCATTCTTGGTTCTTCTCTCAATATTGTACAGACCCTTTTCAGTTTTTATACTTTTGGTTACTGTAGTTTTACCAATTTTTAGTTTGTAAGTAATGTTAAACTGTGGCATTTATAAATTCACGTAACGTAAAGATGCAGCCTTTTGTTTTATTTTGTATCTTTACTTCTTCTATGTGACTATGTCTGATTTGATTAGAATTTGTGAACCAATTCTCTTATAAGTTGTAGACTGTTAGAAACTGGTTGATGAAATACTTCTTCCTGCTTTACAATGCTTTGCGGTTGAGTATTCATGCATCACCAAAATGGATAGTGCACTGGAATTTATCAATGTTACAGTTTGTATTTGAATGTGAGTGGATGCATTTTTCATCTTGGAGTAGGAAGATGTAGAACTGTAGATATAGACATAGGCCCTTTAGGTGCTTTTTAAAGTTATTGTACTGGTGTTTGGATTTGTATGTAGAAAGGAAACTCAGGTTAATTAATTCATCGCAAATAGATAGTATAGAACGGATTTGTGATGTAAATATGTTGAACTTGCTGAAAGGTAATAAAAAAAGGAAGAAAATGATGTTCCACTTCAAAACCCCGTGTACACCGATTCCATGAATTTCTCATAGCCAAATGTCTTCTGGGTTGCTGCTAAGCTTGCCAACTCTTATGTTCCTTTGATATACCCATATAAGTGAGGTGAAGTGCACAACTTGAGCTTCAGGCTTAAGCGTGCCTCAAGCGATGTTTAACAAGATATTCCTTTATATTCCATTCCACTTTGCTCTGGTCCAGTTCATTGCAACACCAAATATTTTGCCTTTCTAAGTCAATGATTCTTTATAACTAGAGGTAACCAATTCCTATACGAACATAAAAGTCTCTATCCTGACCAAATAGACCTAGAGTGTAAGTGTAACAACAACAACTAACATTTAAACCTAGCTAGTTGATATTGCATATATGGATTGTTTTTGCTTCCGTAGTGTTGTTCTTAGATACATTTGCATTTATTCAGTTGGGAGTAAAAGTCTTTTGAGACAAAATTTCTCTCTCGAGATTTTAGGTCTACCTTGTCCTTTTTAGCACTTTCAGTCGTAATCGCGTCAGACTTAAAGGCGGGTGCATTTGGAGGTCTACGTAGGGCATGGTTAAATTATCAAGTATACAGGTTTGAGGTGAAAGCTATCTTTAAAGAGTAAAAAAGACGAACGTCATTTTGCTAAAGGGCTTCGTAAATTTAATATAGTATAGATCATTGTCAAGCATTCTCATCAAGTCCTATAGATGACTTTTTTTGAGATTGTTTACCAACCTTGAACCCTTGACTTAGTAGTTTGGAGAGAACTCCCCAACCACTTAATATAGTATAGATGACTTTATACTTGTGTCACTCCTTGCGGATGTCAGCATTGTCACCTTCAACGTGCTATCTCATAAGTTGCCTAATTGTTTTTGCGCTTTTGGCATTCTTTGAGGATGCCAGAACGGCTAGTGCTATAGTCCCTTCTATGCGTGTTTTTGCTTATGCTATCATAATCTGAGGCTGAGCTTCTGTGTAAGAAACTTGGGCTATTATTCGTATGTACATGTAGCTCCCTGTTTCTTGTGTAAAATAGTAGAAAATTGATTTGTAGTTGATGTGCGATTGTTTTAACATGATCTCATCATTGCTGAAGAGTAATTAATGTGTTGGTCAATTCCCTTCTTCAAATTTTGTCTTACTTCAGACGCCTACTTGCTTGTGCCGTTTAAGCTTTGTCCAGCTTTTTAGCTGATTGATGAAAAATATTATACTTATTCTATGTAAGGGTTGGCTCAATTTGAACCATGTCAAAGCTATGTGCCCTTTATAAATAAAACAGCAAGTTGGCATAGCAAGTACTATCAAAGCTTTGTGAATATAGAGGGTGGACATTTAAAATTATATATATTACCAATATACATAAATTGGAAGGATTAGATGTATAAGTTTTTTATCGTACACTACTTAGGTATATAACAAAGTCCAAGTTTTCATTTTCAACATGTTCAAGTCATAGATCAAGGTATCCCTTTTTTGGTTAGAAAAGCATAATATGCTGTTGCTTATGTCAGACTAGGTCTGAAGGTGTTTTTAATATACTAGTTGGTATCTCCTCAGTTTTATCTTCTTTCGTTACTCTGCTTGACATGCCCCTTCGTGTCGCATTTTTTCTCTCCTCNCAAGGTTATTTGGTCCATGATGTTTGTCATTCATTAGTCACATCTCCTCTCTTATACTTGTTCTCAACTCAGACTATTTTTCTTTTGTGTTGTATAGTCATATGCAAATGCACTTATAAGCACCTTTGAAGATCCGGAGAAGATCTTGGAACAAACTGTGCTCGAAATGAATAACGATTTGATAAAGATGCGACAAGCTACAGCACAGGTATGCTCTTAGTGAGTGCCTTTTTATGTCTTTTTTTTTTAACTCTGTTGCGTATTGCGATTGAGATTCCATAGTTAAGGAAGTGAAAAAACTTGATGTTTTTCTTTTTTCTGAAGGTACTGGCTTCACAAAAGCAGTTGGAAAACAAGTATAAAGCTGCACAACAAGCTTCTGAAGATTGGTAAGAGCTAGAGAACCTTAACAGGTTCTGTTTGTAATAGCTAAGGTTTAATTTTGCTTCAATCATAGGTATCGTAGAGCCCAACTTGCTCTTGGAAAAGGGGATGAAGACCTTGCTCGTGAAGCTCTTAAAAGAAGAAAAGCTTATGCTGTAAGGCCATTTTCTGTTGGAAAATTGGAAAAGTTCATTTATTATGTAATGTTTGATATGGATTTCTAATGGAGTTGGAAGTTATCTTATCTCAGGTTATTGGAATTTGTGTTGTGGCCTTTCCTTTAATTTTTAGTTTTGTTGCTACTTTTATATCTAGTTGCCCTCAATCTCATATAAGAATCGAGCAAGAGTAGACCGAGGGATTTGGTTTGATGAGTTAGATTCTTGTGCGACTTATATAATTACTGATGAAAGTCTGAGTGTGAAGGACTTTCTTTTTATCCCTTAGATCTCATCTAAGAACTTTCCACTCGAACATTTCCTAATTAAGCAGAAATAACGTTAAGAAATGATGCTTGGTGGGTGGTTTTGCTGGTCAGGCTGAGCCTCCGACAAGAAATGATGTTCGTAGATGGGCCGCTCAAACCTGGAAGGTTGCTCATGGTTTCAACGTATATGACATGAATGGAGTTCAATTCCTCTTTGAATTCCCCTCAAGGAAATTGGCGGAACACGTTCTGGTGGGTCATTGGCAAAGACAGAACAGTAAACTCAGGCTGGAGTGGTGGAGCCCAACGGCAGGGGTGCTTTCCAACGGCAAAAAAATTTGACTGGACTTGGATTAGAGTCTTGGGCCTTCCTCTACAATTATGGAATAAGAAGGTGATGACAATAATCAGCGATAAATGTGGGGGGTGGCTGGAAACAGAAGAGGAGACTGATCTCAGAAACCACTTGAGATGGGCACGGCTAAAGGTTAAAGGACCACCGGAATTAATTCCTGCTAAGGTTGAGATTGAATACGAAGGCTTGATTTTACAATCCCGGTATGGAGTGAAACTCCGGTGTTCTTCCGGCATTCGGAGGTGGTGGTTAGTCTATACGGTGTAGGGGAGATTAGGAGGGTAGAGGAGAAGGACAGTGATGGGACAAAAGTCGGTGGGGGAACAATCGAGGCTGCCGAATCTTATAATCCAGCGGTTATAAGGGGTAGTGGTTCGGATAGTGTTTCTCTAGGGGTAATCAATGGTGTTAAGGGTGCTTTTAAACATGTTGGGTCGGGACGAACAAAAGGAAAAGGGATGGAGCTTTGTCAGATTGTGGAAAATGGGCCCAATCCTGTATGTGAATCACGTGAGAGGCATGGGGGAGTAAAGGATTTTGTTGGGCTAGCTGAAGATGGGCCTAAGGAGAATCAAATCAAGGAAGGAGAAAAGGGCTATTTTAACCCCAATCCAATTATCACAAATCAAGACAACCCTGATCCTTTAAACTTAAATGCTGCGGGAGGAAATCTCGAAAGTTTTCTTGCACAAATAAAAGCTCTGGTGGCAGAAGCAATCCGTGAAGATCAACAGAAAATGGAGGATCGCATCTCGACTCAGGAACAAACTCTTCTCTCTCTCAAACAATCGGCAAACCAGACCCTCAACACAACACCATCCACAGTGGGAGAGGAACATGACGGATCAGTTGGGAAGAACCTAGACTCTCATCTTCCTCTTGTAAATTACATACAAGGTGACCCAGGGGATGAAGACGCCCATACAGTCTTTGTAGACTGTCTCTCTGAAGGCGAAGGCGTTACTGATGAATCAGACATGCAATTGGTCCAAAACCAACAGATCGATATAGCAGAACCAATTGAGGTGCACCCACAGGCCTGTGATCTAGATGTTCTTGCATGGATCAAAAGAAACATTGGAAAGATGAGCAAAACATACGGTGTTAGCTTTGAAGGATGCGAATGGGAAGTTATGGCTCTATTTTTGAAGATAGACAGTAGGAAAAAGGAAATGAAAGCAATGATGCGATCAAAAAATAAAAACACAGTTATTTCACCAAAATTAAAAGGAGTTTATGAGAGGAAGAATCTGAAGGTTGGAGTAAAGTACAAAGATGGAATCCCAAGGAACAGAGGGAGGCAACTACTCATTAAAAGTTGATGAAGATACACATAATTTCCTGGAATGTAAGGGGTGGGGGAGAAAAGGAAGCTGATAAAGTCAGCTTTCAAAGAGTGGAGGGCAAACATTTACTGTCTGCAAGAAACGAAGATTGAGGGGGACTATGATGGTATTGCAAAACAACTGGGTAGCAGTAGGTGGATTGATCATATAAAGCTAGAAGCTGAAGGGACAAGGGGAGGCATCTTAATTATGTGGGATAAGAGAGAATGGAAGGGGGAACTAGTTGAAAAGGGAAGATATTCTATCACTTGTAACTTTAGCTCAGTGTTAGATAATTTCTTATGGGCTTTGACTGAAAAGATCTTTGGTTAGAGGTGGGTGCTATGAAAGGATTATGTAATAGAAATCGGGTGGTATGTGGTGACTTCAACACCACTAGATTTGCAAATGAAAGGAAAAATAGAAACTCATACAGTAGAGCAATGGCAGATTTTTCAGAAACCGTGAAAGAACTGGAATTGATTGATCCTCCACTTCTGGGGGCCAGTTCACCTGGAACCAAGGCGACAACTCTGAATGTGCTTCTAGGATAGACAAATTTCTTTTCTCTATGGAGTGGGATGGGGAATTTAGTTTTATCAGACAGAGCCTTCTCCCAAAGGTAATATCTGATGATACACCAATCTCTTTGAAATGTGGGGAATGGGAACTCAACAAATCGTATTTTAAATTTGAAAATTGGTGGTTAGATGTTGAAGAGTTTCCGTCAAAAGTGCAAACTTGGTGGAATTCCTTTGTGATTGTAGGTAGGCCAAATTTTGTGCTAGCCACCAAATTAAAACTCCTCAAAACGAAGCTAAAAGAGTGGAATAAGGAGGAGCATGGCAGTCTAGAGAAAAGGAAGAAGACAATTCTCAGTAACATCTCAGTAGTTGATCAGATTCAAGAAAACAGAAAGCTCACTGAAGGAGAATTACTGGAAAAGGCTGGCCTCATGCTAGAAATTCAGGAGTTAGCTAAGCATGAAGAGACAACATGGAGGCAAAGGTCCAGATCCTTATGGCTGAAACAAGGGGACAAGAATACGAAGTTCTTCCACAAAATGGCTAATGCACATAGGAGATATAATCACATTGATAAGCTGGAGGTGCAAGGGCAAACGACCACAAACTCTGTAGAAATCAAGAAGGAAATCATAGACTTCTATCAGAAGTTGTACGCTGAACCTGAAATATGGAGGCCAAACTATAATCTTGATAGAGGGACCTTACTAACAGAAGAGGAACGTTTATGGTTGCAAAGAGAGTTTGAAGAACAGGAAGTCGTGGAATGCCTCAAGTCCTGTGTTTCAAACAAAGCACCCGGACCTGATGGCTTCACCATGGGTTTTTTCCAGAAATGCTGGCCAACAGTCAAGGAAGATGTCATGTTGACCCTGAAGAATTTTCACTCTAATGAATACTTTGAAAAGAGCTTAAATGCATCCTATGTGGCTATTATCCCAAAGAAGAATAAGGCTAGAGAACTTAAAGATTTTAGGCCAATTAGCTTGATTGGAAGTGTTTACAAGATTATAGCCAAAGTCTTAACTGAGAGGCTAAAGACTGTAATTAACAAACTCATTGAAGGTCATCAAATGGCTTTCATAAAAGGTAGACAAATCATGGATGCTTCTCTTATTGCTAATGAGGTGGTTGACTCTAGACTCAAAAGCAAAATTCCAGGTGTTCTATGCAAGCTGGATATAGAGAAAGCCTACGACCATGTCAACTGGAAGTTCCTCCTGAGATTAATGTCTGATATGGGCTTTGGAACTAAGTGGATTAACTGGATCCGTTTCTGTCTTAGCACTGTAAAATTCTCTATCTTGATTAATGGCTCACCACAAGGTTTCTTCTCTTCAGAAAGAGGGCTAAGGCAAGGGGATCCTTTATCCCCTTTTTTGTTTCTGATGGCAATGGAAGGGTTGAATCAGATGATCAACACTGCAAAGTCAAATGGCTGGATCAAGGGTTTCAAGGTGTCAAACAGACGAAATTGCAGCCTAGAGATTTCACATCTCCTGTATGCAGACGACTCTATCATTTTCATGGGAACTCAACCAGAAGAGATGCTTCATCTCAGACTGATATTAACAACCTTTGAAGTTGTTGCAGGCTTACATGTTAACTGGGGAAAGAGTAAGCTATATCAGGTAAATGAAGTTCCAAACATACAAATTTTGGCTAATATTTTGAAATGTGGAATAGAGAACCTACCTACTAAATATCTAGGCCTTCCTTTGGGCTCCAAAAACAAGTCGCAAGAAATCTGGCAAGGGGTGATTGAAAGGAGTGAAAAAAGACTTTCAAGATGGAATAGTCAATACTTGTCACTTGGAGGCAGGGTGACTCTTGTGAATAGTGTCTTAGATGCACTGCCTTCTTATGTGATGTCCTTATTCCCAATACCAAGTAAGGTGAGGAAAAAGATTGATTCCCTAAGAAGAAATTTTATCTGGCAAGGAAATAGTGAGAAAAAGGCTATCCACTTAATCAAATGGGATACTCTTTTGTGTTCTAAGCAGGCAGGTGGTTTAGGTATTATAAACTTAAAGGCTCAGAACAACAGTCTCCTTGCAAAATGGTTATGGAGGTATAATTTGGAGGAAACGGAGAAGGGTGATACAAGAGAAGTATGGCCATGGAGAACCTTGGTGCACCAAACCAGTATCATCCCCATATGGAGTCTGTGTATGGAAAACAATTAGGGGACAATGGAGGTTCATTGCTGATCATTCTAGTATCAAGGTTGGAAATGGAAGAAGAGTTCTCTTCTGGTGTGACACATGGTTTGGGCACACTCCTCTGAATGATCAGTTTCCAGACTTATATAACATTGCTGCGAACCCAAGAATTTCAGTAGCAGAAGCAAAATTCACACATGGGTGGAATATTGTTTTCAGAAGAAACTTAAATGACTGGGAGTTGCAAAGTGTAGCAGAATTCTGAGAAACCTTAGAAGCCTTCCAAGGTCTCACAGAAGAGGAAGATGTTTTAATGTGGAAGGGTCACAAATCAGGAGCATTTTCAGTGAAATCTGCTTATCATTTCTTCAACACTACTAATCCTACTCAAGGATGGCCATGGAAACAAATTTGGAGGGTCAGGGCGCCCACAAAAGTCTTATGTTTCACATGGTTAGTAGCAAGGGAAACTGTTCTAACCCAGGGTAATCTTATTAGGAGAGGAATCCAACTACAAGCTAAGTGTAGTCTTTGTGGCAAAGATGGGGAGTCAGCATCCCATCTCTTTATACACTGTCCAGTCACTATTCAACTTTGGCATTTCTATTGTAATTTGCCTGGAATCTCATGGACAATGCCCAATAACACTACATCTCTTCTAAGTAGCTGGAACAATGGTGGTGCAAATTTTAAACAGAAGAAATGGTGGAAAGTAGTTCTTGTTTGCATCTGGTGGGTCATATGGAAGGAAAGGAATGCCCGGATTTTTGAAGATAGGCCTAGCTCTTACCAGAAAATTAAGCTTAATTGTTTTTTGTTATTTCATTTTTGGTGCAAAGAGAGCTATAGGGAGGATGTACACTCTTTACTAGATTTGCTAGAAGAAATGTAATCGAACAGAATAGGCTACGCAGTCTCTGATCTTTTGGGGTCTGAATGTGGCTCACACAATCTCTTGTAAATATTTTACTCTTTTATAAAATTTGTTACCATTATCAAAAAAAAAGAAGCAGAAATAACGTTAATACTACTTGAATCTGCCTGTGTATCATGATTTTATTCCTACCTAAAATTTTCAAAAGACAATTCTTACTGAAACTGAAGGAATTAGAAAATATAATAGAAGTGCATCAAGAAGTTGCAAGTTTTTCTACCATAGGATCAAGCGGCAAGAATTAGGATAGACAACTCAAGCTAACTAGCCTCACGTGGGACTACAATTGCTCAAAAGGGTTGGTCTCTGTGATGTAATAGCACATCTATTTGCTAGATTTGGCGGACCACTCTAGTGCTGAAATATCCTGCGTGTCCGTTTTTTCCCTTTTAAACATCACATATAACGGAAGATCCGTCAGCATATTTATGACAGGAAAAAAAAAAGTGCAGCAACAATGAAATTATATCTTTAATAGTAACCTCAAAACTATAACCACATTTGTGTGTTTACTCTTTGACATTATTATTTGAATATTTTCACCCTCGACAGTGACGAAGCCAGGAAATTCAATAAGGGTGTTCAAATTTTGAACACCCTTTGCCAGTGGGCTATGCAAGGGTGTTCAAAGTATATTTTTAATCAATAACAAGTAATATTTTACCTTAGACGTAGTATAATTTTTCGGCGAAGGGTTGTCAGTTGACCACCCTTGGGCCAACATAGCTTCGCCCCTGATCCTCGGAGTTATGGTTTCAACAACAATGAGATTATGATTTCACTGTTAGCAGAAATCAAGGATTATTGATTGATGTAATGTTGGTTCGTTTCATGGTTTTCCATTGTATAATTGCAATACCAACACAAACACGAGATATCATAGATTTTATGTCTAATGTATAGGTTAACTTCTAGTGGAATTTGGGCGGAGATTGATACAACTCAATTTTGATCTTTTTTATAAGTAAGCAACTATATAATTTAATTATGATTGGCATCCATGACTTTCTTATCTAGTTATGTAACATGGAAGCTGGTTTAAACTCCAAACATTCAGGAGTCTTATGTGGTCATTTCCTTTTCTATATCTTATTAGATACTCTTTTGAGCTTGAGATGTCAAAGCGGATGACCGAATAAACAACTAGTATATTTTAGCATTAAGTTTCCTGTTTCCAAGAATAAAAGAAAAAAGAAAGGAAGATTTGAATAATGGAAATAGAGGCAGGGGGGGGGGGGGGGTGGCTAGTGAACTTGCAGAGCTTTGTGCCAAGAATGTCACGTGCCATCATTTTCTTGATTGGCTTACGGGGTGTCTGTTTGAGAGGATAATGAAGTGACATGAACATCATAGCTATCAAGTCACGAGTTTGTATCAACTCAAGTTTAAATTGTGCAGGATAATGCAAGTGCCTTGAAGGCTCAACTTGATCAGCAGAAGGGTGTGGTTGAAAATCTGGTCAGCAATACACGGGTATGTTCCTAAACTTTTCTTTTATCTGGAGAGCTTGTTATTCTAAAGTTTTGCTTTTTCATCAAAATGCTAAGCTAGATATTGATGCGTCAATTGCTCATCTTTTGTGTGTATATTTAAATGTTTTTCAGTTAATAAAAAAGTTTGGTTGTTAATCTCCTTATTGTTTGGGAAATAGTTTATAGGTTTCATATAGCAACAAATTTTACTAATCTGGTCTAACTCTATGTTTTTCTTTGATCGGTGATCTAACTCTATATGTTAAAATGAACTGGAGCTTTGTCTTTGACTGTTGTACTCTCTCATCTGACAGCTTTTGGAGAGCAAGATACAGGAAGCAAAATCGAAAAAGGATACTCTGAAAGCACGTGCTCAGTCAGCAAAGTCAGTTCTTGCCTTTTCATTATTTCATGTTTATCTTGAATTATAGCATCCATGCTCACATTTTGGGTATACCTCTTGTATATGGGGTATTTTCCCAACTTATCAATAAAATTATTATTTTATAAGAAATATGGATGGCTCATAAAAATGTCACACTGCCATAATTTATTTCTTTTGAAGAAAATGACTATGAGGTTTGTCATTTAGGACCGCAACCAAAGTAAGCGAGATGCTGGGAAATGTAAATACAAGCAGTGCCCTTTCAGCCTTTGAAAGAATGGAAGAAAAAGGTTCTGACCACACTTTTCCCGCCCTATCTTTCCCTCCTTTCTTCTTTTGTTTCCAATTTCAGAAGCTTCCTTTGGTTTTACTTTATATATTTCTTGTCCTATAATAATAGCTCTAGAGGTTGACTTTCTGCCTGCCCTAATACAAAACAACGAGACTGAGCGTTGATCATATAAGCCTCTTAAAGATGACCTTTACTCTTCTCCTTAGCGTCTCGAGTACTTTATTAGTATGTCAATCAAAATGAAGGGTCTCTAAGTATATGTTTTGTCTGAGAAGTTATTCACTGAATACAGGCTTTTGCAAATCATGATCTTTTTTAGTATATACTACCAACTGGAATCTTGGGTACCTTAAAGCCTCTAAACTATGTGTTGCTAACATTGGTAGGTTAACCGCGGAGAATCAGCAATCTGCAGCCTTTTTTTTTAAAGGAATAACTTTGTTATGGTTGTTTGAACTGTTCTGGAGCACTTTCGTCTAAATTTTACTTTTGATCAGAAAAATATAACCTTCAGTAAAACTGTCGAGTCACTGATTCAAATGATTTGTGTCTTTATACATTCTCTCCTTGGCATCTAATGTTTGACAGACAAGATGTATATTATATGTTATGATGTCTTTAAAAGAGATTCATACGAGGTTGTCTTAGCCAATTTATATAGCTCGTCATATTCATTTGACCATTTTCAGTTTCATGTACTGAAAGCATACAAATTAGAATGGGACGATCTCAACTTATTGTGGTTGTATAAGTTTGGCTGGGTAACAGGGTGATATTTGCACTTAACTGTGATTGTGCCATGTTGAAATCATCTGCTACTGCGTATTGGGGAATAAGAATCGTTTATCCTGGATATAATTTAGATGAAACTGGAATCACCTCTGTTCGTCATGTTATAAGATATATATGGAGTGATTAAATGATTGGCTAACTTTTTCTTTATATTCTATAGTTTTGACGATGGAGTCTCAAGCTGATGCTCTTAACCAATTAACCAGCGATGAGCTTGAAGGAAAGGTATTGTAATATTTAAAAGTGATCCTAATGTTAATAGCCTTAGTTTGCGTTTTCACCTCTTGTGTAACACAGCTGTTTGGTGAAAAATATGCTTCTTTTTTGGTACTAATTTCTTGTGACCACGAAATGCCAAAAAAGAGTAACATGCTTGTGCTGCAAACACAAAGCTGTAGTTTTCATTATGCAAAGCCTTTGTTGGAGAAGTTAGCGCTCCTTTGGAGGATTATATAATTTATTATCCTAACGATCTTTCTGCTACTGACAGTTTGCAATGCTGGAGACCTCTTCCGTTGATGATGATCTTGCCAGCTTAAAAAGAGAATTGACTGGCAGCTCAAAGGTACTTTCTATGGAAATGAATATTTTGGACGTGTCTTCTTTCTTAGTCAAAAGCACGAATTTGTGAAGTATGGGCACCTGGAGGACAGGCTAACATCTTCCATATAGATTGCGGTATGCTTGGTTAAGTATGCTAAACCAGAGGCGGAGCTAGGATTTCAAGCTTGTAGGTTCGGGATTTTAGTCCTTTTAAGTTAATAGGTTCTATATTAATAAATTGTACATCTCCAATGAATGTTTTAAGACTAATACAAAATTTGAACCAAAATTACTGGGTTCAGCCGAACCCGCAGTCGGCACTCTGGCTCCGCCCCTGTGCTAAACCATACCAAGCATAGGAGGTTGGGTTCAAGAATAAAAGAAGATTCTCATGAATGTGGACCAGAGTTAAAAGAAGGATTGTTTGAGCCTTGTTTTCCATCAGGTAGTATAGCTGCTTTTTAATAGGCATTTCAGTGGACAGAGTAGATAAACAAAATGGTTCCTATATAAAATCCAAGGAACCAACAAAATCCAAAACTCAGTAAAATGATGTACATTAGATAATTTGCTCCAGCAAAAAAGATTTTGAGAACATTTGTGGGGTTGTACCTTGCATCACAATGTATAATCTGCTTTCTTGTTATTTGATGGGCAAGGTATACAAAAATTGTGTATAAAACACGATCTGCTTGCTTGTTGATGTGCTATTTCCTTCAAAATCTCCAGTATTAAGTTTTCCTTTTATTGTCTTAGCAGAAAGGGGAGCTTCCACCAGGTAGAACGACAGTTGCCAGTTCAAGCTCAACATTGCAATTTCAAGATTCAGAGATTGAGAAAGAATTGAATGAATTAAGAAGGCGGGCAAATGATTTCTAGAGATCATATTCGATCTTCCTCCATGTTCACATATCGTCTTTCTAACCCTTTTTTCACTCGAAGAATGTGGTTTTGGTTTCCAGAAAAGTTGCCTTGTCGATAAAGGCAACGAATATAGGAAGTGAAAAATGGAAAGTATATTGAGATATGTCGATACGTCTTCTTTCATATTATTGACCTACATTATGGCAATATAGTGTAAGCTAGACTTCAATTTTGTATATTGTCACCCAAATGTTTCAGGAGTATAGTTGTCTAAGTTACATTGTTTGGAAATTATATAATTCTGGTTTTGCATAGGATGCTATCTGAGATTCTTTGCCAGAATGCTGTAAACTTTTTCGAAGTTTTGATTCCCCCCCCCCCCCCCCCCCCCCC